ATTTGCATTCTTCACTACTGAGAGCCACGGGATCTTCTGAGATTGCCAGATTATATTTTAATTCCCCTTTTAATTGCAAAGCAATCTGCTAGAAAATGGGAATCCCTCCTGTTGGAATTTTCACAGGGAATGCCCCCATTTGATAATTTCCTTTCAGGAAAGAATGATTTTCCCCATGGGATGAATCCAAAAATCAAATATACAGAAAAGCTGCTGCTTTACAGCTTTCCAAATTTGTCTTTGCAAAATAAAACAAATGCAGAAGAAAGGGCTTCCCCTCTTACACTAAGTACGTTACAGCCAGAAGGGAAACAAATTTGTTATCAGGTGTTCTCTCACTTGACTCGCTGATAAAAGGAGAAGTGTTCATCTCTCTTCACATCTATAAAAAACTGGAGGGGGGTGGTGTGACAGCACAGACAAACAAACCACACCCCAAAAACTCAATATTTCCTCACCAAAAAAAATATGAAGAGAATAGGCTCTGTCCAAAGATCCCCAGTCCTGTGACAAGTTGTTTTTCATCCTCTTGTGGTTAAAAGAAGTCCCTAATTCTTCCAGAACCACTTCAGTAATCACTGCACTGGTTGTGTCTACCTACATCAACCAATTTTCTGTCAGATTTGCACATGGATTTTAATCTTTGGAATGTGCCTCTTCATGCCTTTGCATTCAGGGGGTGAGAGTGACCTGTTTGTGGGTCCTAATTGCAGGTGGAATAAATATTCCAAGTGTGGGCAATCACACATGGCAGAGCTCTGTCTCTGGGGCCAGTCTGGCCCTCCTTGATGCCACAGCAGCGTTCCTGCTCTCTGCATTCCCTCATCTCAGTTTAGGTGTCAAACCTTCTCTCCTTTTCATGAGCACACACAGACTGAAGAGCAGAATTGCAGGAAATGAACAGAGGCAACAAGAGGTGAAAGGAAAAAATTCACAAAGCCACAAACCTTTGTTTCTTTTCCACCTTGTACTTTTTTCCTTCTGCTGCACAAAAAGCTGCAACTGGACAGTCTTCTCATCATTTTCCACTCACCAAAACAAGCTCTCTACCCTGACCTGACTCACACACTTCTTTTTGCCACGTTCACGTTGTGATTTTTTTGTGTCAGTTTGTAGCTCTCAAACCTGTTCCATTATGTGGCTATAAACTGACTTTTTTTGGTTTCTCTGCTGTGCTGTAGATGCCAAGTTGGAAGCCATGCCAAGGCTTTGTATTTTACAATGGAAGTGCTGATGAACAGAAGCTGTTTAAGGCTTTCCATCCTGCTTTTTGGGAAGGAATGGGTTTTAGTGAAGGTACTTCTGACACTGGACGCTATTGCAACGAAAGTTGTGATATTAACTACCAAATGTCTGGATTTGCACTGCTGACCCTGACAGCTCCCAGTGCTTGATTAGGTAAGGCTGGGGTTCCAAGGGCTGTGTGCCAGACATTGCCACCCTTTGCTTTTTTTCTCTCTAGAGAGTCTCACTTTAAATTTAGGTCTATTTTTACCAAGAATTTGTGGTCATGCCTACATTGCTGTGAACAGCCCATTAGAAAAAGAAATACCAGATCCTTGTCTTACATTCTTACATCATCCAGGATATTTCTGCATCTACACCTTTGATATTGTTACAAACCAGTTTAAACACAGAAGAGCAAAGAAAACTAAGTCGGTGCATAAAACAGATCAAACCCTGAAAGATTCAAAATCTACCCAAAAAACATTATTAAAACCAAACGGGGTTAGATGCTGGTGCCAAATAGTTATATATTTTATTTAATAGTGAAAGAGGCAAAGAGAAAAAGAAAGAAATAGAAAAATAAAATGGGGGTGGGGGTGGGGGGTGGTGGAACGGACAGGGAGAGAGCAACAAGGGTTAGGTGGAAGCAGATCACCCATCCGAGGGGAGTCCCAGCGATGTCTCTCTGGGCAGTGAGGGTCCTGCGCCGCCGCAAGTGCAGAATCCGGGTTAATAAAGGCTCGGGGCAGGTGGGAAGGTCCCGGTGCCTCCCGAGGGGGGCGGCGTTTGCCACTGTCCCTCGCGGGGCTCTGGCTCTGCTGAAGGGCTGGGACCCTTGGGGGCCTTCCATGGGCCGGGCTCTGCTGTCGGAGCGGGGATGCGGCTTTTGCCGGGTTGCGGGGTGCATGCTAGGCTCCAGTGCTCCGCGGAGTGTGGGCGTTCACTGCCCTCGCCCATAGGTTTTTGTCATCACACACCCAAATGCTCTCCTGCTCCGGTGCGAGGGTCTGTGCCGGCCTGGCCGCTGATAGCCCCACGGCTGCGGTCCCCACCCCGAGGGTGGTAAACTCGATCCCTCTGAGAATGTATCCCCTGAGCTGAGCTGAGCCACTTTATCTTATCTCGAGTACTGAGCAGTGCCTTAGGCAGGGCGTGGTGGTCTTCTTCTCTGCAGCTTTTGTAGTACAGTTTTACTACAATAAGTAAAAATCCTTCATGAAGATGTTTAAACCATAAATTATAACAGTTCTGTGTCCGACAGACATCCTTCCTGGAAGTCATCTTCCCCTGAGCATCCCTGGATGTGGGTGCTGGGAAAACTCTCAGTGCAAACTGAGAAGTAACTTGGCCCCTTTGAATTTTTTTCAAACTACTCTTCATGTGTCTTATGGAATATTCAGAATTGGAAGGGATCCACAAGGATCATTGAGGCCAAGTCCTGGCCTTAGGACAACCCCAAAATCACAAGTTTCATTCCAGTGTGAAAGATTACATGAGTGTATATATAGTAGAAAAGTAAAAATATCCTTATTGTTGTGGAAATTTTATGTGTCAACATCATTTTCCATCTAGAAATAGCTGGGTATAAGCAAGTGGTAGTCCCAGGCTGAGAAAGGACAAAGTGGGATGAACTCTCCTGAGCAGAAGATGGAAGAAGGTGGATTTTAACTCCTGGCTGGCTCAGCTGTAGGGCTCAGCTTTGTTTAGTGACTGGTGTGAGTTCTTCCTGTAACACGCCTTAAAAGGGAAGTTCTGATTGAGGTAGTGGTTTAGCTCTGAGTCATTCAAGTGAAATGCTCAGGCTGTTTCTCTGACAAATGCAAATCCAAATTCCTGAAAGTGGTCTCAGCCCCAAGATTCACCGAGTTTTGCCTTTCCTAGCTACAAATAACAGAAATGGGAAGACTCCTTTCCTGTCTCCTTACTCAAATTTATCTTTGCTATGTGGCCTGATAAGTACAGGGACAGGAGTAGGAAGTGACACTCTGAATACATCCCGGAAACATCTTTGTAATTACACTGTGTTTGTTACCATGGAGATCCCAGGAAATGGCATTGTTGGTGTTTGCCTGTTGAGCACCAGATTCTGCATCTGAGTGAGGGGTTTTTGTCTTTCCCAATTTGTCTTCCACCAGGGCTGGCTGACCTTTCTCCCTTGAGCCATAAACATATTTGTACATCAGTAAAAACCAGTGCTGTGAATATGTGTACAAGTGTCAGCCTGAAGAATGCTCAGTAAGTCACAGGTGGCTGAGTGTTAAAAACCCAGGAAACCTGGAATAAGAACTGCCAACACAGACAGCAGAGAGCATCCCCCCAGCACCGTGTGTACTACAATTTGTAGGGCAAAGCCATATTACTTGTAATTGTTTTATTGCTATTTAGCAGAATATATCTCTCAGCAGGAAGTGGGGCAGAAGGAGGGAGGGAGGGGAGGAGGAGGATCACAATAACTGGGATAGACAGAGACGCTGGAGGATGATGTGGCAGTGAATGGGCAGCAGGCAGGAGTTTGCCTTCCCTGAGCAGGCTGCACCGGTGAGGCAGAGCAGCTGGATGGAAGCTCTGCACTCAAACATTGACAGGTTTTACATTTTCCTAGCAATTGCAAACTGTCATCTGCTGGATTTTCTAGTCCAGGTTACACAATGCCTGCTAACAGCAAACTCTGCTAACCCTGGGTTGGATTTTATAATAATGTTTACACTGATAACTGAGCACTAAACTAAAGGCTAACTAAAGGCTCTCATTAGAAGCTTGGGCAGTCCAGGCTGGGAGCAAGGCTCACTGTGCCCTCTAGTGCACTCTGCCTGCAGCTCCACTGTCCCTCAGCAGAAGGACACGAGGAGAAGGAAGATGAAGCTCTTTTCCCCAGCAGTGGCTTGGCACGGCAGATTTCTGCATATCCTGTACAGGTCAAGGACTAGAATGACACCAAAACGGTACCAGAGCCAAGACACAGCCCACGGTTGTGGTCTGGTGGAAGCTGACCCTCACAGGAACCCATGTGGTGCCTGAGCACAGATCAAAAAATGTACATTCACAAGTGACGAAAGAAAAACTCTGTGATCTGATTTCCTTTTGTCCTAGATAAAAAAAAAAAAACAAAAACCAAAACCAAAACCACAAAAACAAACCAAAATACCTGTTAAATAAGAATATTTCCAGGTGTCAGGTTACAGCTGGGGTCCTAGGTCTGTATGGGGCCATGCTGCCATCTCGCATGTTCCTTTCAGTTCCCCTCCTGCAGAGCATTACAGCACATTTCCAGCCCCAGGTTTCCCAGAAACAGGCCCTCTAGCAAAGCTGTTTTTTTTTGCCTTACATTGCTTATTGCAGAGGTGTAAAGGGGTTCTGGATGGTATGGCGCTTGTTCTTCCTGCACTGAGCTGTCCCTGGGACAGCAGACTTGGAAGGTGAAGACACAGATTCTTATCATGGAATATTCACAACTGGAAGGGATGGACCAACAACAGTCACCAGGTCCAACTCCTACGTGAATGGCCCATCCAGGAATCAAACCTGTAAAGTTGGTGTTTATAGCACCATGCTCCAAACAACTGAGCTAATCTCAAATTGTCTTATTTAATTCTCCAAGAATTCTGAAGAAAGCATTGCTCTCCTCCTGTGGTCAGAGAACCTTTTCTGTGCAACCAGTTTTGTGAGAGCCAGAGACCTTGTTATACCTGTAAATGGGTGGGGCTGATGAAATAGATAGCAGGCTCTGGGGAGAGAAACCTTCTGAAATTGTTGCCTGGCTCTGATTTCCACAGGACTCTATGTACTGGTGGGAGCAGGGGCCATCATGTCAGCAGTTGGATTTTTCGGGTGCTGTGGAGCAGCACGGGAGTCCCAGTGCTTAATTGGAACAGTGAGTAAAAAGCTTCAAGGGCCTGGGCTGTGCAGGAAAACCATCCAAAGCATCCAATGTTTGGTGTTGTTAAAAGAAAGATCTTTACAGTCCAACACCTCTTATGTCCTTTTATTGGCTAATCCAGTTTCTCTGGACTCAGCAGCCACCATGTTACTGCAGAGCTGGCATACATGTAGAGGTGCTCTTGCTTGTCCCTTGTGATGTATTCCCTGGAATTACCCTCTGATTTTCCTCAAGCTCCCTCTGAGCCACATCTTTGCCATTTCCCCTTTGTTTGAGTGTGACAAGAAACCTGCCTTGGCAGCCCTGTGCAGAGTCTCCTCAGGACCTTTGGTTCAGTGTGGGCTGTTGAGGCCTGGGGAGGACAAGGGGCTGGCTGGCAGCCCCTGTGAACAAGCTGCACTCATGTGACATTGTCTCCTTCCTCTGCAGTTCTTTGCTTGCCTGTTGGTGATATTTGCAGGTGAGGTCACTGCTGGAGTATTTGCCTTCATAGGCAAGAAAGTGGTAAGTAGCAAACAGCGTCTGATGTAGTGATGGGGTAGTTACAGATTCCAGTGCCCACTGACCTGGCTCTTCCATAGGAAAACTTTCCAGGAGACTTTTCCCTGGAAGACTCTCTGACATGCTTATCTGGAGCTTGTGTTATCACAAGTTTAGAATAGGATGAAGTTTTTGCCTCCTCTGTTCAGTAAAAAGTGGAGATGTGGTTCAGCCTTGAAGGAACATCGAGGGGAAGTGTATGAAAAGAGGGTATTCCCTGGGAGAAGGGCAAACAAATTTAGGCACTGAACTTCCCCAACTCAGAGTGTTTAACCAAAGGACAGAATAGAGCCTGTGAACATTCTGACCCTCTGAATGCCATCAGACCACAAACCCTCCTGGTTTTTGTGTCACAATACCTGTTCACCAGGCACAACTTTTTGCCCTGGAGGTTGAGGACACAGGTGAAAGTCTTGGACTGGGGGTAAGACTGATTTGCAACTCACTTCAAAAGTGTGATTTCTGCAGGCAATACAGGAAGCCCAGAAAATCTATGAAGATGCTTATGAGGACTACATGAAAAACCCAGTGGGGAAGGTCAACAGTACCATCTATCGCTACCATGTGGCTGTGAGTACTCCTCCACCTTAACACCTCACTCCATTGCTCCACTGTCACACTGCCCTTTAGAATCCAGAATTCTTCCCTCTGAGGTATGGCAAAATAGAACTGAATATACTTAAAATCCAGTCAGAGGCTCACAACCCTGAGAGTTTCCTGAGGGCTCTGTCAGAATTCTGGGTTTTGGATCTCTACATTTGAAAGTGCAATTAGCCAGGCTTAGAAATTTCTGATGCTTCTGGTCTTTGTGTGCAGAAGAAATGACTGTTATGGCCCTTCTGGATATTGAAATACTCACAAATACAGAGAGAAGGAGAAATGTGTGCATCCCTCTGCATCTGTCTGGGAAAAGGTGACCTGTGTCCCAGGACCTACAGTGTGTGGCTGAACCAAGTCAGTGAAAGACCAAAAGCACGTGTGACACAGTTCAGGCCACCCAAAAAGTGAATGTCTGAATCAGAGTTAGAACCTGTGACTTCTTTAATCCTGTTTGTGTCCATCCTGGATCTATATTGCCTCCCATGGAGAGCAAGCCCAAGCTTTGTTGCTCCTTACAGCAATTCCCACGTTCTTTAGAACAAACATTTCACAACCTCAGACCCTTTTGTCCTTCTCCCATAGCTCTTATTTCTGACCCAAAGAGGAATTCCAAGCATTTTGTGGGAGACAGGCAAACAGGAAAAACAAACCCTCTGAAACTCTGATTTATTACTGTCTCCAAACCCAGCACAATGTTGTGTCAAAAAAAAAAAAAAATCCAGCATTCTCTGCTGTAGCTTTTATGCATTGCCCATAATTCTGTATGTGATATTTGAACTTTCTGCATTCTCCCTTTAACAACTCCTGTTTTCTTGTAAGCCAGGGATCTGATTTTCCCAAATCCACTTGTTTGCTTTGTTATGAAATATTGTAATAAAAATCCCTTCTGGACATTGTTGTTAATACAAATGTGGCTGTTTACTGTGGCCTCAGACAATTGAAACTAATTTTTGAGAATTTTGTCCCACGCAGTTGGAACTCTACCAGAAGCAGCAGTTTAAATATAGAGAGTAAGGTTATTACTTGATCTGTACAGATGTTTTTTTTTATTTTAGCTATTTATTGTCTCACTTTCAGTATGAAAGTAATAACTGACCTCTAGTATGAACCAGTCGGTGGTTTCCCCCTCTTTCATCCTTCATTCTCTCTTTCAGCTCCAGTGCTGTGGTAAAGGTAATGTGGAACAAACAGGATTACCCTGTCCAGAGAACATCCAGCTGCCAAAGGCAAGTTTCCTCTGTCCTGCTTGCTCTAAACACTTTTTCATGTTGGTTTTTTAGTAAAATTGGAGACATTCTGTAAGTAAAAGAAAGGAAGAAGTTCCTTTTTACCTTGCAAATTCCAGGATGAAATTCCTTATGGAATGGAGCAGGGTGGAGGCAGAATTAAGCTGGAGGTCATATTGCCCTCAGTTGTGACATCTGTTTGTGGCATCCCATGGTAGCTGAGACAATACTGCATCATCTGAAAGGAAAAGGGAGAAGGAGGGAACAGAACAGGACCCCAAATTCCCCATGGAGGCTGAATTTTGGCAAGTGCCTACCTTAGTCATGCATAGAGCCTCCTCACTAGAAACTTCATTGGTGTTAAGAAAGATATTTCTGTGATAAGATATAAGATCTGCTTGTGAGTTCAATGTCAAAATGAAGCACCAAACCTCCTGATTTAGCATGGCCTGTTATATAAAGGAGTTTAAATTTAGGGAAAAAATGGAATGTAAGGAAATTACTTGCATGTGTCAGCCTCTCCAGGCAAGAGGTACAGATGCCTCACCAGAAAAGGGAAGATGCTGAGAAAATTATCCAGCAAAACCCAAAGTTTAGATGCAGGAATCTGTGACTGCACTAATATTTTTGTGTTTATCTGTTATTCAGTGAGAACAGCTGATAGAATTGATTGAAACACAGATTTCCAGGCATAAAAAAATATTTTAATTTTGTTTTTAACAGAACTGCCTGGTTGAAATTCAGAATGTAATTGATACTCATCTGCACTTAGTTGGAATTGTTGGAATTGCAATTGCTAGCATCACAGTGAGTAAAATCCATGTTCTCAAATCTCTCCTTGAGCCCAGTACTCTGTCCCTTACTCAAAGCTTTGTGGAAGGTTTTTTGCAGCAGCTGGTGAGGTTACTCAATTCTTATAATTTCCAGTGTGTCTTCTCCCTGGGAACTTCCCCCATCAAGTGCAAGCAGAGCTGTGTGACTGTGCTTTGCAAGTTCATTTTGTGTTCTTAGACAGGGTCCAAAACAGTCTTCTGTTGTAAGAATAGGAGAGCAGAGTGCACATGAACCAAACTGAAGAGCAGAAGGCTGTAGCAGCATTTAATGTACTCCAAAACAGCTGCAGGCTGAAGCTTTAAATCCTTTAGGATACATTCCTTAGTTTTCATGAGGAGTGGAAAGTAGCCACTAGAGCTGTGACCAATAGATGTCACCCTGTCCCAAGGACACAGCAGGACTGGCATGCTGGGGCTCACCAGGCTTTAGCACAAAGCTTTTTCCAGCATGTCTGTGCCATCACTTCTTTCAGGCTCAGACACCAGCACCACAAGGAGCCACAGTATTAGTAAAGAAACACTCCTTTAGCTGCTGGGAAGAGCAGGACATTCACAGATTTATGTGGACACTGAAAGCTGTGCATATCGGAAGGGTTTCTGCAGGTAACAGAAACCATGGTGTGCATATTAAACAATCCTGAGGTTTGTCTGAAACATGAAGGGACTCAAAAATACAGCCAGGCAGCAGAGGTGAGACAGAGATCAGTAACATCAAGGACATACCAAAAATGGGATCATCTCCCCTTGGATCCCCAACTCAGACACAGCAAAGGTCCTGAAGTGACCACAACCTCTTCAGTGACAGAAATGCACCTGCACCTTTTCCTGTGCTTGTTTCTGCCACTTGCTGGGCTGTGAGAGCTCAGCTGTGCCCATCCTTAGGGAGGTTTGTGGGGAGGGGACATGAACCCAGTGCTTTAATTGCCCATCTCCCACCCTTAGCACTGCAGCCTCAGGAGGCAGCTGCTTTGGAGAATTGACCTGTAGCAAGAAAGCAGAGCCTCTGGCAACACTCACTGTTCTCTGCTTTTATCATTCCCTCCAGTGAACAAGTTCCCTGACGTGAGTGGGGATTCAGATTTAACGTATAGTCTTGTTCTTGAGCACAGGAATTATTCAGAGCTCAGCACCAGCTCCAGGGGCTTTTACTCAAATGTGTGTCATATTCCATGTATAAGCATTTTGAAGCTCACAACACTCTGCTGCAATACTGAGATACCACCAATAGTCACAGTTATTATGTGACTGAAATTGATGTTAATAACATTAATATTTGGGGCAGTAGTGCTTGCCTGGACATTTAGAACAAAGAACAGTGAAACCTCTTCCACGTTTATTGTCTGATGTTTTGGGGTTTTTTGGGCAGTCACTACTCTGCCATAGGGACCTTCACACGGTCTGATATGCTAATTGTTTTATAACTGTTTTGTAAGTGGATCCCTAAATTACATCCCTTCTCTTCTAGATCTTTGGCATGATATTCAGCATGGTTCTGTGCTGTACGATCCGTAACATGAGAGAAATGATCTAAAACTGTCACTGCACAACTGTGCCCCAGGAGTTCCAGACTAAGCTTACAAGAAGTGCTCTTCTACCCAATTATTTAATAATTGTAATGCATTTTAATCAGTGTTTTAACATACTGAGAGGAAAATATCCCATTAGGTGATCAGGTGAATTGTATTAGTTACAATTAGTTACAGTAAAGCTGAAGTGAAAAAAAAAAAAGGGTTTAAAATGTCCTTTTTAATGGAAAAAAAAAAGCACAGGTGCATCTAAGACTAATTTGAATTTTAATGTTTGTATATGTGCAGTTAAGAGTTTACACATGTATAGATTTTGTGTAAGCACACGCATCTTTCTCCTTACAAACACATCTGGATGTGAGCAGGTCCCTGGATGTGCAGTACCTGTCTAGGTAAATACCTGCAGATGGAACACATTGGGTGTGCATCCAGAGTGTCCCCATGCAGGATGTGCACATCCCACAGGGACACAGAGCTCGGAACCCTCTCACACCGAGTCCATTTGCCAAGAATTAGCAGAGGGACATATGCCATTGTAAAAAGTAAGACCTATGATCCATTTTGTGACTTTATTTTCCAAAACCCGGAGTAGAACTAATAATATTAGTCTTTATTTTAAAAAATAATTAATGCCTAAGGGCCTGCTCCAGCGAAGATGAATTCATGTGAGTAGACCCACTGACTTCACTGTCATGCAGAGACTGGGTATTTCTTTTTTGTAGGACTGGACCCTTCATGCAAATGCAGAAAGCTCTGGGGGAGAAAACACGTCCAAGGAGATCCAGGCTAAAGGAAGAGGGGGAAAGAGGTGGGAAGCTGGCAAGACCAGGCAGTCATTTGGGACCAACTGCAGTGGAAAGTGTGCTTAAGCTTCCCAAGCTAGGCTGAGATACACCAAAAACCCCAACTGCGAGTTCAAGGGGCCACTAAAATCCACATTCAGCAGCCCCTTTGTCCCAAAAGCCTCACTGTGGCTACAAACTGGTGCAGGAGTGGAGCCTAGGTCCAGAAAAGCAGCCCCTTTGTCAGATCTCTGGAGAATCTAACTGGCCTGTGGAAGCCAAACAAAGAGTGAAAGTGGTCAGAAAAAGACACACAGCACTTTAATATCCTCAGTTTCTGCTTCTGTGACTATCACAGCTTCCACGGGGTTCTTACCTCAACCTCTCGCCCTTTCCTGGGGGCAGAAGGCAGGAAAGGAAAGATGGGACATTTTTACAGAGCCATGAAGTAAGTTTTTTTACTGGCACCTTTAGATTGCATGTCAGGTATAAAAATTACACTGTGTGCTTGAAATACCTCAGGGCTTGCGTTTACATAGTTTGTTTCTATATTTTAATTTTTCTATTTGTTGTATTTATTCGTAAGAGTTACGAAAAGTTGAACCAGCCTAGAAGGGAGAAAGGTTGTCCCCAGAAAAATAAATTACATCAAATGCTCAGGATCTCTTAATTTTTGGCTTACTCGAGCGAATTCACAGTTTCAGAGAACTGCTTTTTGCTACCCCCATAGCAGCAGATCTGGTGATCACCACTTCAGATTCCTGATGCAGTTGTTCCATACATGATGGGGAGAAGTTCAGTCAAACTACACATTCCCATAGACCGTTGCCTAAGAGGACTTGGAATTTACAAGTCATGGGGTCCTTGTTCCGCTGAAACAGTGGAACAAAATGGGATTTCAGGAAATATGTGTATTCTAATGCACATTTTTGTGTGGGATGTGTCACCCTTTATCTATTACTTACTTTTTATCTCGTATTCCCCTAGGAAACTCAAACTCCCATCAGTTTTCTTCAAGACTTGGGGTAGTGTTGCTCCTGCAAGTCTCTTGTTTGGTTAACACATCTTGCTGTCTTTTACATGGATTTCTCTTTTCCAGTCGTCCAACCATGAGCTGTGGCACTGCACTAAGAGCTGGGCACAGCAGGCACAGCTGACTGAGCTGTGTCCAGGCTGAGCTTTAGGCTGGCAGGGACACATGAGATCACACACCAGAAAAGAATCAGGCTTGTGTCACTCTGTCACAGCTGATTAGCAATGGATGTTAATTAAAAACAGGGCCTGGGACCTCATTCTGCAAGAACCAGAACAGGAAACAGGACCCTGATCTGCTGCTTGCTCCTAAGACAGACTCAGCTGGGAGAATGGCAGTGGCAGCAAATCCATGAAGGTCTCAAGCTGAAACTTAGCAATCAGTTTAACACAGCAGCCAGCAAAGCAATTTCCTGGCTCCCATGTGTCCCTGAGACTGTCCCTACAATTGCTGATGATGGGGTAGTGCCCAGCTGGGATGTGTTGTCCCAAGGTAGTACTGGCAGAAAGAAGAAACTCTTGTAGAGTGTCATTTTTGCCACTCAGGACAAGTCAGTTTTCCAGTAAAATCAGTAAAAATAGCACCACAGCCAGTGGTTCGGGTTCCAAGATTGTTGCCCTACTGGGCTAGAAATTGATTGCAAATACAGTAATCTCCTTGTGTTACATTCCCCCTCATAATGACAGTATTCTATTCATTTTAAACACATCTACACATAATTTGGTTTCATTCCTCAAATTCATAGCACCAGAATGTAATGACAGGACCAGTTTATCTCTTTATTTATTATTTCTTGAGTAAGTTGGAAGATGCCCACTCCTGCTTTGAGATGCACTGGATGCCAAGGCAGCTTGCAGAACCTGCTGTTGCTTCCCCAGCCCTCCACTCCCCCAGAACTACAAAACTACTCCAGTGCCTTAGGAAAATGGGAAAAAGTGGTAGAAAAAAAACTATAAATTCAGACTCCAGCCACCAAACTTTCTGCAGAAGTGTTTTGGGTTGGTGATTTGTTTTTTTCTTCCTCTAAAGAGGGCATTAATTTTCTGAGCATTCCTGCATAAGCTCTAGGGTTACCGTTATTTAGGTCTAGGGGATACTTGCACTGCATACCAGGAACAGGACAATACCTGTTACTGGTTTAGTTCTCTGAGTTATTGGTATAAATTAAGCTGGAAATCAACGTTATTCATATACTAGTGCCTTTAACAGAATTCAGGGATAAAGGTCTTCTGTAGTTTCCTGCTGTTGTGAGGTACTTAATATAATTGCAGTTTTCTCTGCATCTTAGTAAATGAAGGTATTTTTTGAGAGAGTTACTGCCACATAAGGCAGTAAAAATACCCATTTATCCTGTCCTTCGTACCTGTGTCAGAGGAAAGTGACAAAAGATCAGATCCCTCCAAGTGATAGAATTCTGAAAGCACATCACACATTTTCTTGTTCTCCTGTTAAACAGTTTGTTCTAAAGTATAAAGATAAAAGTTACTGATGCCCTTATTGTGTCCCTAAACATCCTTATTCACATTTCCCTTGTCTAATTTTTCTAAGTAACTGATTTCCATGGGAGCTTCCTTTGTCACAGGGAAACCTCAACCAGTTTTGGTACCTCTCAGAGATCACACAGAGCAGCTAATGAAGCTCAGCCCTGTGACATCCCTACAATGAAGAATCTTGATACTGATAGTTTTATAACAAAACATGTTTCACGTGTCTTGAAAAAGAAATTGAGTTGTCTTAAGCCCTCAAATGCTGTGTTGTAAAGCCTTTGCAGGCTATGGATTAACAGCATCAGAGGTTGTTCATAGAAAATGTACATAAATAAAGCTTTTCAATCTTTTTCCTCTCTATTGGTGCTCCAGCCACGAGGTTCTCCAAAACACAAACCACTTCCAGGATAATGTGTATGGTACATAGCATAAATTCTGATTTTGGACAGAACTGGCGTATCGGTTCATGCTGCCAAGTCTGTGTCAGAATTACCTCTTGCTTTGAAAGAAAACAAACTTAACTCTGGCTGAAAGTAACTTTCACTTCCCTATGATGTGTTCCGAAGTGGCGTTTTATCGGCTTTGTGTCTTGAATTTGAAACAACTTCCTAATAAAAATAACCTGGAATAAACGACTCCCAGAGAGAACTCGATCCGCGCGGCCAGTGCCCCCCCAGGCCCTGAGGGCACCCCGGGGCTGCCTCCGCCTCACCTGTGCATCCAGGTGGACCTGGATGATGGCACCGGGTGGGCTCCATGTGACGGAGCCAGCGAGGCAGGCAGGGCCCCGCACTGGGAATCGGGACTGAGAATCAGCATCGGGACTGGGATCAGCATCGGGATCCGCTGGGATCCGAACGCGGCGCCGCCGCAATTCCCTTCCAGGACCCGCGAGCAGGCGAGGCTCCGCCCACTGTGGGCGGGGCAGCGGCGGTGCTCGATCCCCATTGGCTGCGGGCGCGACAGCGCCACAATCCGAGGATGGTTTGGGCGGGAAGGGGCCCTAAAGCTCAGTCTGCTTAACGAGGGTGCTCCAGGCCCTGTCCAGCCTGGCTTCGGACACTTCCACGGATCCAGGGGCAGCCACAGCCGCTCTGGGCACCTGTGCCAGGGCCTCCCCACCCTCACAGGGAACAATTTCTTCCTAATATCCAGTCTAAACCTACTGTTTGTGTGAAGCCATTCCCCCTTGTCCTGTAGTCCTTGTAGTCTCCCTTCTGGTACTGGAAGGCCACAGTAAGGTCACCCCGAAGTTTCTCCTCTAGGCTGGACAATCCCAATCTCCCAGTTGTGAAAAACGAGGTTCACATAATTTTTATAGAATTTTAAAAGTTTAATAAAAAAGACAGGAGAAAAAAATAAAGCAAAGTTTACAGATACAGACGAGTGTCTCTGCATTCAGCAAAGAGAGCACACCTTACTGACAAAGGATTGTCCCTTAAAAACAGAATCCTACTACATATCCATAAATTCTCATACATATTCATACATTCTTCTTAGGATCTTTGGTGTTCTTCTGTTTAGTTTTCTCTTGCCCCCTTCCCAATAGATCAATCTTCTTGGCGCCATCGAGATTTACATTCCCTGATACCAGAAATGCAATAAATTCCTCCCCCCAGAGTTCTGGTCACTGCTGTCTTCATCTGGATAAGATAGATTACGAAAGAAAAAAAAAGGGTCTCCAGCTATCTTTTTCAGTCTTTGGGTTATACAGACAAAAATAGTTTTTGTTTTAATGCTATGTCATAGCTTAACATATATGTATTATACCACTATTTCCAACAGAAATAAAGGAAACTATGTTAATACAACAAAATTTCCCATTCTTATACACATAACATTAATTTTAATATTTGCGAAAAGCCGACAATATAATATGTAACTATAACACAGTCTTTCCTCACAGCAGAGCTGTTCCATCCCTCTGATCATCCTGGTGCTTCGTCTGGGCTAGACAAGTCTGTGTCCAATTCAGTGTGCTAGGCCCCGAGGCTGGAGGCAGCTCTGCAGGTGGGGTGTCACCTGAGCGGGACAGAGGGGCAGAATCCCCCCCGCCAATGATGCCCACGGCGCTTTACATGCGGCGCTTTCTCGCGGGGAAGCGGCGGCGGGCGCGTGGCCGGTACAGGCGGCGCCGTGCCCGGGGCTGCGCCTCAGAGCCCTCGCCACAGCGCCCCCTGTGGGCCGGGGGTGTCAGGCCGTTCCTTCCCTCACGGGGAACCGGGAATAGCGCTGGCTCCTTCTCTTTCTTCTCCTTCTTCTCCTTCTCCGTGCTCCACGTGTGAATGCGTTCGGGTTTGTGTTTCTCCGAGCCTCTGCCGCGGGCGCGGAACACCGGGAAGAGACGCGACTCCAGCTCCGGGCCCCCCCAGCCCGTTCTGTGCTCTCCCCACCCGGACTGAGTTACGGACAAAAGGTGAAGATCTTTGGATTGCCTGAAAATCCATCGCTCAGTTATGTGGAAATGGTCTTAGGATAAGTGGAAGGTAATAAATACATGTCTGTAAGGAACCATCACCTGAACAGGGATTTGTCAGTGGGCCTGGGAGGGTCTTAAAGTTGAGCATGAAAACTGCTTAAGGGCCAGAGAGACGCAGTCCTCGGAGGGCATGGAAAGGTATGGTTAAATAGATGTGTTAGCACAGTGCAAACGTCTCAGTTTGGGTTTTTCTAAAGTGTAAAAGAAGGCACATTTAGTTATTTTTCTCTCAATGATTTTGCATAGGCATTAACCATAAAAGTAGACTTGGTTTTTATTTCTACTGAAGACAAATCTGTCAGGACATAAAAGACATTACAATAACTTAGCAGTGCTGCTGGTAGTGTTAATAGGCCAAGTACCCTTTCTTTGTTTTGCTTAGTACAAGTGCTGTTTAATAGTAAACAGAATTCTATTTTCCTGTGCTAAATCACAATTTTAACAGTCCAGACACCTTGATAAAGCTCTGGCTGATCTTAAAACCGAACACTTTTTCTTCGGCATTTACCAGATACCATAAGGGCTGCTTTGTTCAATAAATACCTCTTTCTCAAGTTTTTTCTACCATTCCTGTGCTCTTCACCAACTAGAGAGCAGCAGCAGTTCATGGTGCCACTCTTGAAAAGCCTGGGAGACCACAGCTCCTCTGTGTGATACACAGAAGGGGCTGGGAATACCAGATTCTCACCACCAGAAAGTATTTGTACCTTATTTGTAACTAACCTTTCCTGCTCCAAAGAGTTTTAGAAATAGTCTTGTACAAAATTAGCTATAACTGGGTTGTTTAAACCATAGGTGCAAGGGATCAGTTTTACAGAAGTAGGCCTTAATCCTTACCCTGGATTTTCTGTAAATTTCAAATGTGTTTTTGGAGAATTTAAATTTTCAAACCTTGTCTGTGAAGGTATTTCTTTATCACCAAATAATGCATATGATAATTGCAGTTCATACCTTGTGTAGAATCTGTGACATGTATTCCTGGATTATTTTGGATTGGTTGAGGTTGGAATGAACTTCTGGAGCTCATCCACTCCAAACCCCTGCTCCAGGGGCGCACCAGCCATTTCCCTTGGGCTTTCTCACAGATTTTGCTGCAGATGAAATAGTATGAAGGTGTTTGGAATAACAGTCAGATTCTAGGAACAGTCATGAAAACTGCAATTCTGAAAGTAAGATTTTTCTAATGTTAAATTTCATATTCCTATCCTGTGAATTCTAGTTCCTTTATTTACTATTTCAAACAATGTGTGAATTAAATATCTGTAATTTTTTGGGAGCTACAATCTCAGTGGAAAGGAAGCAGTTGTTGTTTTACATTAATTACGTGCATTACTTTTCTTTATTCCTGGCTCTGCACCTCTCACCTGTGCATGTTCAGCACACAGGGTGGGCTCAGCTCTCCTTCCACTCCCAGGAGACCTGTTGACCTGTGGGGAAAAATCATATTTTTGAGTTTTGCTTTCCGTTTGATGGCACCACACTCGCGTTGTGGAGAACAGAGCAGCCAGGTTGGAAGCTGCAGTGATTCCTCAGTGCTCACAGAGACAGGTGTATTTCAAACTGTATTTCAGCAGGGAAGGGGGCATTATGCCATTCATGTAGAGACATTAATGTAGAGAAGTATTCCCAATAAATACAAATCTGGACAACAGCGGGGAGGACACAGATTTGCAATGTCTAAATTAATATTACACAGATGGAAAAATACTGCTGGTAATTTGAAGGTTGTAAACATGTATCAAAATTTATTTAAAATGTTCAATACCAAGAGCGTGTGTGGCCTCTTTTCTGACTCTGAAATATATCAAGTGAAATATGTGAAGTCTGAAATAAATCAATATCAAATTCTGAAATATGTTAGTATATTGAATCTCTGAGCATCTCTTCACAAAATATCTGGGATTTGTGAGCAAAGGCTGATCCATCCACACGGTCTTGTTTCCTTCTTCCCCAAAGTAAATTCATGTGGGTTCTCAAGACAAACATGCAGCCTTTATGATTTTTTTCTGCCTGTCTCAGAACACCCAATTATTTGAAGCAACGAATGATACACCTTCAGAATAAATCTTTGTGCACAGCAGTTTGCAAACCAAATATGAAATTCACTTTTATTTCAGTTCGGGTGTGAGCAGAGCAGTACATTTCTCCTGCAGCCCACTGAAAGCTTTACAGGTTACAGAGCTTCTGTGGCTTAGTGCAGTAGTTTGTCCTGACCCTCTCACGGACACAGTCACTGTAGTCAGTGTTGCACTTGCCACACTTGCAGCTCACAGCCACGGGGTAGGAGTAATAGGGGATGGTGTGGTGAGGGCAGCCTGGGATCAGCGCTGTCCGGTACAGCATCTCTTTGTACGTGCACACGTTCTGGGACAGAGCACTCTTGAGCAGCAGCTTCTTGCCATTGCTGTCCTACAAAGAGAAGAGAAATGCGTTGTTTCACTGAAGCACATGTGTGTCAGAAAGGTCCTGTGAGGTGCAGAGACCAAAATTCATACCTGAGCCGAGCTCTGGTACTACTGACTTCAGAGCTCCAATTGTGACTGGGGCTCCCTCCCCACACAGACACATTCCCCTTGTTTTTATAGTTTAACTAATCCATGTGGCTCAGAGTGTTCCCTATGCTTTGTGATCTCTTCTGGCTCCCTGCTGCCCAAGCTGGAACTCAGAATGCTGTGTTGAACAGTGAAGTTGTGTGGAGTGCTGTGGCTGCTGCAGAACTGTCCCCACAACCAACTGAGATAGCAGCAGTGGGAGAGGTTACCTAAGTTACTTACATTAATTAAGAGCGACCCAATATAATCTGCCCCTCACCTGTTCCATCCTGTCCTCACAAACTGCCCACAGAGGCTTGGCATTTTTCATCCAAACCTTTGCAAAACGCTAACTTGAAGACGTGGTGACAGTGCAGTTCTTCTGCCTGTGATAAACTCTATGGCAATTAAATAATTTGCATGCTATTTTCTGGGAGAACAGAACCTTGTTTTGCAGTGGTGGCAGTTACAGAAACATCTGTATCTCGTACCCGAGTCATGCAGAATCCAGCGCAGATGGTGGTGTTGATGGCCAGGCAATAGGCACATTCCCGTTTCTCCACGTGGATTGTGTACTCAGAAGGAGCACAGAGTGATGCTGTTTGTCCAAAAATCAGGCCAAAGAGGAGAGACATCACAAAGAAGGAACTCATGCTGGATGGGGAAGAACAAACAAACCACAGGTAAAATGGGATGTGCCTTCCATCCCTGTCCTTGGCATTTGACAGGAACAGCCAGGACAGTCTGTCCTGGTTAAGTTTAGAGTAATCTTAACCTTAGTCTGACAATTTCTTTCCAATCTCAGTCCTTACTGAAGTAATACTGACCATTAAACAGAGAACAAGAGCAAAGAGGCCATTAACAGCACAGAAAAAATTCACTTTCCCTCCACTAAACCATATTACACTTCTCACTAGTGAGTGATAAAATCCTGACACAGAACAAATAAGAAGGGCTGAAAGATTGGAATGTGTGACATGTAAGAGAACATGAGGTCTAGAATTAAGCAGAGATATTAAAATAATCTCACTGCTTTAAAACAATTTTCTAAAGAAAGCATCTTATAACATGTTAAAGAGACAAGAAGACGAGGCTGTGCATATCAGGCATAAAACTGGATTTTTCAATTTCCAGTGGCTTAGAGGCATGATAAGATGGGAACACAGCCAAGAATTAAATAATAGATTCAAGCAAATTACAATAAAGAACATCAGCAAAGAGTTCAATTCAGTGGATCCTGCTTTATCTGTCTGTTGTGCTGACCTAGTTTCTCAGACCTGCGGGGGAGATCCTGAGAACAAAGCCTTGATTAACTCCAAGACAATTTCAGGAAACTACTCTAGAGCCTCTAAATTATAAACTTTAAATGACAGTGTCTACCAACATCTGGACATCACCCTCTAGTCTCTCCCAGCTGCCAGTTTCCCACAGCAAAGCCATCCATTACACAGGCTGGTTTACCCTGTATCTGCGACAACACCAGTCTGGAAAGACCAACCTCTTGTCAGCAGAATTCTTCCCTATTACAGGAACCTGATTCTGCCTTGAGCTTGGAGAGGCAGTGACCCAGCACCAGCTTTGTATGTGCTTTATACTCTCCAGGCTAATTCCAGGCTGATCTTACTGTTTATATAATTGCATCTGAATTGCTGCTTTCTTATCACAAAGTCATCTATTGAAAATTCATACTGAACCACAAAGCAAATGTGATAGGAACAAACGTGTCCATAATATCCTGACCTGGAAACTGGAGCTGGAAATCTAATTATATTAACAGTCATTCTCTCCTCAGGCTTTTAAACTAACCAGTGTTTTTAAAAAGTTGTTATTATTGATTAATTTAATTGCTCCATAGGGGCAGCAAGACCATGGCAGGAAGGCTGGCATGGATATGGAGTCCTCCAGAATCACAGATGATGAGTTTTACACCTGTGTTTTGTAAAGGTTTAACAAGGTCTGGTTCACTGTGCTTGCTCCTTACCAGGCACATGTGGGAGATGCTGGCCCAGGGTTCCCAGGGGAGCTGTGGCTGTCCCAGTCCTGGAAGTGTTCCAGGTCAAAGCAGCCTGGGAAAGTGAAGGTGTCGCTGCCTATGGCAGGGAGTGGGATGGGATGAGCTTTAAGTTTCCTTCCAACCCAGACCATTCTGAGGTTCTCTAAGTCTGTGCAGTGCCCATGAAGCAACAAACCTGAAATCAAACCCATTTCTCTGCAGCCTGCTGAGGCATAGCCTGACTTACCTGCTCAAGCAAAACACACTCAGAAATTGGCTGGCCTGGAACCTGCTCAGCAAATATTAAAGCAACAAGCAATTCACTCAGCACTGATTGACAGAGAAAAAACTTACAAAATCATTCCTCGCAGCACAGTAAGAAACAAAACATTGCATCAATACCAATGAAACAATGTCCCCAGATGGGGAAAAACACTCACATTTGTGGGAGCAAGAGGGAGAAGAGGTCGACAAAGCCACTAGTCTCTGTCAGCCCCTCCCTGAGCTCCTTGCCTGCAGCTCAGGGAACACGTGCCCCTCCAGGCAATCACCTAACTCCCATTTGGAATCTGATCTGATGGATGTCTTATGCAGGTCAACCACATTCCTTATTTACACAGCCATAAGAAACACGGAAAACATGAGTTTGAGGTGGTAAATATGGTCACTTTGAGCTATTGGAGGAGTGATCCATTTGGTCCCAATTGGTGTTCAGCTAATTCCTGAATAATAGTGTCCTGAATAATAGTCTCCTTTTCCTGTGGTTTCAGACAGGTCTGTGTCCTGGGGTAATTTTCCAAGCATTTTTTGGCAACCTAATAGAGGTTTTGTTCTATTAAGACTAGCCAAATGCTTTCTGTTTTCATGGAGTCTTTAATTCTGGGTTAATTTGTAGCATATAATTTCTCAAGAATTATATATAATTATATTTAAAACTCTTTCTGGCTTAGGGACGTGAGCAGAGTATTAATTGTACTCTTTGTAACATCTGTCCATCTCACTTAGCAACAGGAGTGTAGCACTCACTTTGCTAATACTACTCCAGTATGTTATTTAGCTCTGTATTTTTCTGATATATTTGGAATACAAACAGGTTCTCTCAGTATACACTACACAACCCTCACATAGATAATGTAAACATGTATATATACACTGTACATACACACACACACACTCTACATACAAGTGTATGGGCTTGGTTATTAGAAGCTTTAACCACAGAAAAGAACGTTTGTTCTTGGGAAATACAGAGCATATTTCAAAGGACACAAAGAACCTGAAAGGAAAATAACACAATTAATAAAACTAAAACCTGGAGCGAACAAAAAGCTCTCAAAGTAAGAATTAAAAAGCAGCATTCTTAAAGCAGAAGTGTCACGTGGCTCTTGCATGCACAGCTGATTCTTTCCTCTAAAGATTCACAGCTTTAGGCAGTTGGAGGTGGATTTGTGCACCCTGGAGACCACCACATCCAGGTTTAAAGTGTCTCAACACCCCCCATAAGAACATAGGCAGAGAACAGGTCAGAGTGTGAGGACATGTACTCTTTGCTGCCTCAGAGTGCCAATTTCTCTGAGCTGAGAAAACGGGATGCAAAGCTGGGGGTGGGGGTGAGATTATGGTTTAAAAAAAAATTTAAGAATTTGCTTTAATAAGGTTTAGGGAAATGTCTGCAAACGTCAGTAGCAAATTGTAACAAGGCTTGAAAGTCATAATGACAATGAAAAAGAGAGTGCAACAATAAAAAATATATCAATAAAAATAGAAGAAAACCAACAATAACTGTTTGAGGTGAGAAAATACAGAAAACCGTACAGGAAGCTGAAGAGTAGGAAATAAACTTTTGCCAATACAGAGGCCAATAATAAAGTCAGGGAATGTTACAAGATAAAGACAAGCTGTTGATGCAGAGTAAGTGCAAAGGCGTCAGCACTTTGAAGCTTTTGAAAACATAGTGGCTGAACAACCACACACACATTAACAACAAAAATTATTATATAAATCATATAAGGAATAAATATTTTAAACTCAACATGATTATCTAGTTAATGCTCATTTCAACAACTCTGGAATACTGAGGAAATTTCAAAGCATTAAAAGAAAGTGCTAATACCATGGCAATATTTAAGGAGAGGGTGTTGACCCAGGTAAGTCTCCACCAGCCAGGTAAAATAACAGAAAATTGATACAGGATTTGAGCAATAAAGAATTAACGGATGAAAACATAATTACTGATGTTACATAAAATAGGTCATGTCACACAAACCCAATTTCATTGTTTGCAGTGATTACAAGTTGGGTTGATAAGGCAATTGCACAGATGCAATGTCTTTGGTTCCATCTGTGCAGAGCCCCCCTGTCAGGTTTAGAGCCCAGTGTGGGGATACTGAATGCTGGCAACTACCAACCACTGGAGCAGTCAGTTGCACACTGCAGTGCACTGGAGAAATACCTGACCAGGGTTTCAGGATGAAAATTCAGTTATCTGGAAGGGCAATAAATTACTCTGAGTGGAGCTTGGGACCAATGTGACTGCTGCTTATCAGCTCAGCCCCATGCTGATATGATCACAGAACCTCTTGGCTGCTGCCTTTCCCTTGCTGGCACCACTACCCTGCCCATCTAAAGGGTGGTGTTCACATATCTTCAGTAATTTACACAAACGATCAAGCTACTAAAAAACCTCCTGGATTGTCCTTCTGGCTGTGACCAAGGAGCTCATCCACTATGTACCTCTCTGATGGGAGTGAGATCCCACGAGCCACAGGGAGCAGCAAGATAAAAGACTGTGGCAGGACAACGAAGTCCAGTGTCAAAATTTGTGAGTGCCTGAGGCTTCTTCCATATAGTTTCCTAAAATCCATCATCCACAGTCTGATGCTTATGGACCCATTTCTTTGGTTGCCCTCCTGCTGACCTGGAGAGACTCAGTGATAGAAATTTTTAATGTGTTTTTATAGCCCAGCCTTGCAGTCCTGTTCTGGAACAGCCAGTTACACTGTTAATTATTTATCTCTAACCTTTCTGTTAACCAAACTAATCCATTCCCTGACATCAGTGATTTTATGCTTTCATTAAGTGAATGATGGTGTGCTGATGTTCTACAGGAAGTGCTTCAAGTGATATCTGTAAATAGAATTTAGTAATTATAAAAACCTTGGGTTCATTCCCCAGGAGTCTCTGTAATGGGCTACAGAAATTCAGTGCATACCAGAAGCTCTTATGTAACAGTAATTTAATAGTATTCTCTGTTACTGACCAATGCCTAAAATAAAATAAAAGGAGGAACAATGAGAAGTTATCAGATATTATTCCTACTCACTCTGCCTCTGGTAGTGGTATATGGATGATAAGTATGAGCAGAAGCAGGGAGCACAGTGCCTGTGGAAAAGCAGGCCACATAATTTTCTCAGTCTCACCTGAGAAAGTGGTCTGGGAAATCATAAGGAGGAATTAAAACAATCTTCAGAGATAGAAGACAGCCTTGCAGGTGCTGTTTGTCCATTTCTTGTTTTCTTGCAAGAGAAGGTTGAGGGGTGGTATACCCCACTGGCCAATGATGGTAATAGTTTACTAACCAATAAGAGTTTTACCTTTCTGTACTTTCATGTATCGAGCTATAAAAGATCTGAGGTAATAAACCTTGGAGGATCTCTCCTGTTCAATCACAACAGAGTCTGTGTCGTTCTTCTTGCCATTCCCAATAGAGCGACAGTGGTACAACACAAAGAAAACTTCGTGATCTCATGAGCAGGTTACTTAGAGAGCACATACATTCTTTCCATGAAGTATGCAACTGTAGATAGTAAAGTAAAAACATGTCCACACTTGCAAACAACCAATAATTGGAAGCTCTGCTGATGAAAAACATACAAACCCAATCAGATTCTGAAAGATGAGTATTCTGGTAGAGGAATTATTTCCAACTCCATCCAGTTGCAGCCCTCCACTGATAAAAGGAAATAAGATCCTGATATGCTGCCATAGAAACAAGTGTTTTTGCCAGGTTTTGCATTTAAACAGCCTATGGCTGCTGAATTTTCAAAGCTAATCTGCCTATTGCCTGTCTCTGTAACAGCCCAAAACACAGCTCTCATCTCTGAAATTTATACATTCACAGTCTGCTCTTCTCTTTCTTTCCTAGGATTAGCTGCAGCATTTCCTATCAGCCACAGATTAAAACAGCAAATCTCTTTGTTGCATATCATATGCTAGCAATCTCCATTTGTGGTCTGAAAATGCTTCATAATCCTATTTGCTGTTTGGCTCAGACGATAGAGCCCTTTGGATTTGGTTTCATGTCTTTGGAAAGTGCTAGATATTTCTCTTAGACTGAGATACACAGTCACTGTGCTGAGGGCAAAGCTAAACAAAAAAATAAACAACAAACCACCACCAGAGACAATCCTGAGCCTCCTGCAGTATTGTCAAGGATGAACAGTACCAACCCAGCACCATAATAATGCTGAAGGTAAAACTCTGACCCGGGTGTGACAGCCTAGGACCTGCCAGGTGAATGCCTCCCAACAGGGAAGCCGCTCTCAGATTCCAACTAAAAGTTAAAATGGCTGTAAGAAAGGAAAAGGGAAGGCAG